CCTTCTAACCACAAGTGTGCGCGAGAGCTTTTCGCCGTTGCACCTCGGCGCATGTACCCTTCAACGTGGTGTATCGCCGCCGCGCGCCGAGGTCGCGAACGTACATCGCACGGCACTACCGAGATGTCTCACGACGACGACGACGAGGACGTGGTGTTTCGCGGAGCCCCCTCGTGTATCGACATAGCGCAGAATATTTCAACACGGTCGCCTACTTTCGCGAGAGCACGTTTCGCTACGGGCCGCACGCGAGATTTATCGTTCCGTCAGCTCGTGCCGACGCGCTGATTCATTTCCGCGCTCTCCGCGAGCGCTTTTGGAAATTCGCGTCCATTTCCCCCCCGGTGTCGCGCGAACGGCGACGGCCTGTTCTAATTTCGCGCAAGACTCGTCCCCTCGTATCTCTCCCGAGCGCGTTCCCGCGAGGAGCGATTCCCAACAACGTCGAGTTGTCGCGTCAGCACGGAAAAAAAGTCTCGGTTCGCGCGACTGCGTAAATAGGGACCAGATAAAAACACGGGAACGAGAAATGATATCTCCGTTACGGAGACATTCATCTCCGCGGAAACGTTCTTCTGAGCATTCGACTGTATTCGAGTTCGGTTGAAGTGACTGGCTGAGAGCGATTGGCTGGACAGGGATCTTCCGTAAGGATGTTTCAAGTAAAGAAATTTTATTAATCCAAATTAAATCCAAATATATATTTCTCCATGCATCAACGAGACTGTTTTTCCCGCGCACATCTGGGTAACACCGCAGGGACGGGACGAAATTTTCGGCAGTGTACCTATCAATCATTTGTAAGTGACAGTTATGTTTTTTGCTAAATATTTCACTATATTAATGCTTAAATTAGCTTCCGAGTTAGCGCCATGTCCTTCATAGATTTGTTTCCGACATTTCGTGAATATTTCAGTTTATGTCTTCCGAGTGAGAAACGACCCGAAACAAGGGTGAGAAACAACTCGTTTTGGGTCGTTCTTCACCCAGAAGAGATGAACTGAAATGTTCACAAAACATCGGAAACAAATCCATGATGGATGCGGCACTAACTCAGAAGCCAATTTAAATATTTCTCCACATCGCTAAAAAATATCTTACTACATTTTTTACCAAGCATTTGAAAAAATTATATTTTTATATCTGTATTTCATTTCTTAATTTATTTTGTATTTTAATTATATTGTTTACTAAGTATTTACAGGAATATATAAATAAAAAAAGCAATCGAATAAAAAAAGCAATAAGATATCATTAACGCGACGCGGTCGAGAATTCGGACGTGGCGTGGCGTGAGTTCGACGTGTTACTCAACGCGTTAATAGCGATCGATAAATAACGCCGACGGTGAGAGGTTCTTCCATTCTTTCCACTGGATTTTTCGTTCCGCGAAAATGATTGCGAGGCAAGAACCGCGGTTGCCGTACCTCTTTCCCAACTTGTCTCGTGATACCCTTTTCCCAAGGTAGAAACAATCCCGCCCGGCTCGTTCGTAAGAATTCGAAACACGTCCCACTGCCGCAACGATCGCTCTTCGGACTTCAGAGATCGCCGGGTGAATTACTTCTCGCGAGGAGCGAGCTGTAAACGAACTCTTATGGTTGACCGTTGATGCGAAAGCACGTGGCTTTAATCGGGAATCTCCGGCACGAAGCACCGTCGAGGTTTTTTCTTTCATTTGAGATAGTAACGATCGCGCGAGATTATTCCGGCAAGGGTGCTCGACGTTACACTGACGCGATGGTGCTTCCTGCCGTGTTTGAAGAACCGCCGCGATATCGGGATCCAGACCTCCGTGAAGAAAGGGGGCCTCTCTTTGCTTATCTGCCCATTCAAGCGTGTTTTTTTCCCGCTTATCCGCGATCAATCGGCTTAAAGGTGACGGGCAGGAATCGCAACTGCCGTCACACTGTGAATCGCTCAGCACGTTCACCGTCAATTTCCATCGATTATTCCGAAACTCGACCAAGGCCTGAATAAACAAAGATAAATGGTACAGAAATAAACAGGACAAACGCGATTCACGGAGCATACATTTATTTCATTTAATTGCCTCCCTATTGGCTATTAATTTAATTCGTTATATGTAATTGGTAATTGCAATACGTTAATTGCAACACGTTAATTGCAGAATGATTAATGTATTATTCTATTTTACTAGAGAATGTAGCTAAAATATTTTGATGTCTGTTTTTCATTCGTAAAATCTAAAATCTTTGAGTTTATTTTATTAACCACATGGTACATATATATATATTGTAATTTGCTACTATATTTTGTAACCTGTGTTTAAAATAGTCTAATATAAATTAGTAGCTTAAGGGAATCCATCCCAGAGGGCTGAATAAATTACGCACCGCAATAATAATAATAATAATATCATAGTGCCTGTGAGTCACCGTGTTAACCGAAGTCGCCGAAAAGTCCGTCGACCGTGCGTTCGCGCTCATAATGCTTCTCCTCTCTGTTATCTACAACATGATACTTGAAATAAAAATAACCAGAGAGAAGAACGAATGTCTAGGAACATCGTGGTGGCGATCAGTCATTGACAGACGTTATCTCATCGTTCCGTTCGTATCGGGGATATATCTATCGCTACCTTCGCGAAGTTTAGTTTCCCGATCTTCGGCGAAGAACAATTTTACGACAGGTCGTTCCTTGAGATCCTGCGATAATACGTTCTTCTCACGGGGGCTTCGCGTTCGGAGATCCAACCTGGAAGACCTTCCAACGGAGTTCGTACCTTATCGAGGGAGGTCCTTTTGTCTTCGGCAAGCGCGAGACTTGTCGATAAAACATGTCTCCGGTGTACTTCAGAGCTGCCCGGTGAGCGGCACTTCAATTGCGTTTAATTGCATCTCCGCGCAACAAATAATCCGCGATATAATCGCGTCCGGGTTCGTTCGTTCATTGGTCTCCTCCGTTCATTTCCAGAGTCGTCGTCTTCGCATTGCGATAATCGCGGCGGAACGGAAAACTCGTTTCCGCGCCGGCGATTGAAAGCGCGGGCGATGCGCGGCGCGTCCGTATGAAAAATCGCGTGGGCGATTAAAAGTGGATCAACGGTAAACGTCATTAAATTCTCGTCGGCCACCGCGCTGCCGCAGCGCGGCGGCGCGAAGCTCGCCGCTGATGCAATTATGCTCTTCCGCGCGCGGTCGGCTTTGAGCGATTTGAAAATTTATCGATGAACACGTGACGGACTTTACCCTGTCCCCCTTGTCCCACTTATCTTAGCATAAGCAAAAACGAGATGATGCTCTATCTAATATATCTATAAAATATCTATCTCCCGCCTCCTCTCTTTCAAGCTGCATTCTTTCTTCGCATGACTCGTTACGATTCGCACCGCTCGAAACCCCGTCATGCCCGCGCGCGCGTACATAATTCAAAGCTCGCCTCGAATTTCGCTCACGCCACATCAAAGTATTCGGGCGTGCGGAGCGTATAAGCAACCGGCTAAATTCGCGTTTAAGTGCTCACAGAGTTCCGCGACGCAGGTAATACCGCGCGTTCTCTCCGCTGGGGAAAGTTGATCGCGTTCGTCGGGAAATAGTTACCGTTTTCCTTTGAGAACAACGCCCGTGCGAGCGAACCAGCGGAGCGGGTCCTCTTTGAGACGTAATAAAATTCTCCTGTATTATTTCTACCGACGCTCGCGCGCGCGTAACGTAACGACCCGCAAACTGGATCGTCTAATTTCACGGCTCAAAAATACAAACGGATCGGCGCACGATATCTCAGCCGCGCGGCATTCTCGCCCGTCTTCGCGCCACTACAGAAGCATGTTCGAAAGGAAGATAGAGAGAGGAGTAACATGAGAGAAACGACGGGAAAGAGAGGGAAAGAGAGATAAAGAAAGAGAGAGAGAGAGAGAGAGAGAAGACTTGAACGCGATATCGTGGCGCGGCGTCGAGAGCGCGCGTCCGTCCCGAGATAGCTCGGCAGCCTCAGCGCGAAACGAGCTTCTCTCACGAACTTGTCGATAACAGTTTGGCAACCCTCAGGCCTTTCCACCTTCGCGCCACGACTACCGACTACCACGGGAATTCAATTATCCTGCCGTTCGAGCGGCCGGGCCGTGTGAAGATAATACGAGACGAGCGGAGAGAGACAAGGCCGGCCATCTTGGCCGGTGTGATCCGAGCTTGTGGAAATCCCGGTGACTCCCGGCATGCTTCCTGGATGAAAAGCTTAACGCGTCCGATGGCGTGCGTATATGGCCGTCGAGTAGCCACTTCTATTCGCCGAGCGGTTATTTAACGGCGTGTCCGCGAGTCGTGAGATAAGATAGTAACGCCGGTGTGATGAACGTTAATATAATTAATTGTGGCGACGTGGGTACGCGAAGCATGTAGTGAAGACACCCCGAAGATCGTTTGATCCTGCAGGGATCCTCTCGGGTGTCCCCTCAGACACCTTGTCATTATTATATATTACCTTGTTAATACATTGTCAACGTTTCCATTGTCTTGTTATCGTTATTATATTATCGGATTTTTATATGAATACAATAAAATTGAAGGGATTTCTAATTAACGTTAACATGACAACACGTTAATGGGATCACATACTATGATACACCGATGCATTCATTTGCGCATACACGAAAAAAATATTGTAATAAAAATTATAACAAATTTTGTAATATTAGTATAATATAATATGTGCCATAATTTCAGTCATAATTTCGGTCCAGTATTACAAGATTTTGTGATAATTTCTACTACAATATTTTGTCCTTAATTAGTTACACTTTATGAGGTGAGACTAATTTTATTGGTCAAATTAGAAACCTAGGTCGGTTGGGAAGTCAAAAAATGAGATGAAAATATATACACGTTAGGGGTCGCATTTATCTACCTTAGTTTTTTTCCCTCGAATTTCGAATTATCGAACATTCGATGAGAAATTGACATGTTAATACGAAGGAAGAAACCAATATTTACCGCTGCGTTACAACTCGTAGTGCATTCGCATCTTTTTTTCTGTTACAGCCCTCAAGACCCTGAATCACTTGAACAAGGAAGGCGAGGCGCTTGCCCTTCAAGATGACCTCACAACGCACCCCACCTTGGCCTTGATGCGGCGCATCCTTGCAGATGCACAGGTAAGCGAATCCTGAAGAAGCGCTTGGCAATGAGATTTCCCAGATATCCCGACGTTAATCGCGACCGTCCGGCTCACTTAAAGTTTCCAAGTGAAATCGTGAGTGCGATCGAACGAACGAGCGAATTGGAATTATTCCGACAACGTTGGATCCGCAACTAAGTTAGGCGGACGCATGCGGTACAACCGAAATACACGCGATTATAAATCGTCCCGTGCGCCCATGGAAACCGAGCGAACTCGATGCAAGCGGCGTCTACGCCAAGAGGTTAATTATCGAGCAGATAAGGGCCTGTCTATACACCCATTCATATCGAAATCCATTGTCTACCGCGAACCCGCGAGCTATTATATATCGCGGACGCACGCGCGCCGAGATCATGCGCCTCCTGACACGGACTACGCGCACTCCGAGTTACTTCCAGATACGCATCCCCGCGCGCACGGTGCCCAAATTCTGCAATTACACCTCGACGTTGCGAGGGTTGATAATTGTTTCGGATAATGGGCTCTCCTCCTCGCAAAAATATCTTACCATAAGTTCTCGTTCTCCCTATCCTTTCTTATCGCAATACCGATATCCCGACCGCTCCGGCAACTCGACCGCGGTCATTCAATTAACCCTTCGCGAGATTCAATTGATTTTACTTAATCGGGAACTACGCTTCGGTTTGCAAATAAGATAAAAAGGGAGCGGAAAAAAATTGATGAAAAACCAACCGGAAATTTAGATTTCGATATGATGAGAATAAATAAATAGCCGAGAAACATTGATGGTGAGAGAACACGAGTCAAGCGACGTCTGAAGGCACTAGTTGAGTTATGAAACATGTTAGTGATCGAAAATTCATTAGTCGAAATCCGATTAACTCAGTTGAAATAATTTCGTAATTTGTACGATGAAATTCAATTGGAACAGAGATATGTAGTTCCTTGTCTCTGATTCGGGATTATTTCTCCCAAGGATCCGTGTGGTCCTCTCCAAATGAGGAGAGATAAAAATCCCGGAGTCAAGAGAGTCCGGTTAAGCGCGATCGAGAGGACCGACGCGCGCGTTCGCCCAAACTACTAATCGCTTAAGAACTCCATTGTCGGCCGCAAACGGCTCTCTCGAGGCGAGAAGCTCTCTCTCACGGACGCAAGCACGATTTTCAAGAAAGCGAGGAGCCGAGGATTCGAAGGGGTTAATTGCCAGACGGACAAGGGATCGCTCTATTGATAGTGGGCTCCTTTGTCCATCTCTAACTATTGTTACCTATACGCGCGCGACCTCCAGCTGCGGCTGCGATTTGCCAACATTTCCCTGGGGACTCCGCCGGTCGATGTTTATTATGCGACAGAGAGAGAGAGAGAGAGAGACTCGTTGCCGGGAAGGGCCGGCTCGCGCTCACAGGGAGAAAAAAAGGCCGATGGTGAACCGAGCGACAAGCTTCATCGGCGCAAATAAAATAACAAAATAAGGGTCGAAGCGGAAAAAGCGTCCTTCGCGTGATAGCGTTCCCTCGTCGCTCCCGGTATTTCGTTCGGCTTGCGTAGATATGAAACTGCTTCGCGTAACAACGTAGTCGTCCGTATCTCGTCGCGATCGATAGTAGTTACGTGAGATTTTTTTCAGAGAGAGAGAAAGAAAGAAAGAAGAAAATAGAAGTACTTCGAGTATTCCCGGGTAAAAATCGCGCATGCAAATGAGGCAATCGCGGTAATGACGCAACCGCGATACGCACGACGGTCATGAAGCCCGACGAGGGATAAAATTTATTTATTCATTAATTTATTCATTTAATTAACGGAAATAGGAGTTTACGGTGTGCAGATTTGAGGACGGAGGAAATTATATAAGATTTAATATACAGATTGCTCAACACAAGCCGGCCGGCATGTACTTGTAGTTTAAGTTAATGTGAACAAAAGAGTTTTCTACCATTTTGCAGACAGCCACGCAGAATTCGATTAATCATTGAAAATAGCCAAGTACAGAGGCTTTAATTAATGACTAATAATTTAATTAATAACTCAAAAATTTGCGCGGTTATTTGCAAAATGGTAGAAAACTTCTTTGACGTTGACCCAAACTACAAATATATAAACGGCTTGCATCGAAGACACCTTGTGTAGATCAAATAGTAAAAAAATGTTTTCTTCTTCTCTTTAAAATCACTCAAATTTGATGAGAGGGCACGGATCAAGTTATACTTAAAAGAATTCAAGGAGTTATTGAAAAAATCAATAGATCCAGCTATTCGTTAATACATGCGAGTTCTCTTCATACAATTAAACCTGGCATACGTTGTCCGATGACACTCAATATAAAATATATCAAACGAAGGAAACAAAAATAGTGTCGCGACGTTCAACGAATTACGGGAGCCGCGTGTAGCGATTTTCCATCACGCGGTCACGATGTGTTAATTTCGACCGATAATTCCGCGCGCCTGCTCGACGACTAATTAAAGGAACACCGTCGCGAGATCGCGCGATTCACGCTCCTCCTTCCCCTCTTTCTCCATACGAGTCGTCGCAGCGCAGTGAGATTAAGTCGAGAACGGGTTACTGTTCCCCGTCTAAAATTGGGAGGTCAAAGTCGGGCGTCAGGAACATGCAAACTAATCAGCCAAAGTCGGCGCTCCCGTCTACGTACACTAGGCTATGCTCGAGTAGGCTTAAAGGCGGATTCAAAGGACAAACCCTTGTGTAATGACTTCGCCGGCGGGGTGGGTGATGTGGCGCCGAGAGGTTACCGCGGGTTCTGTAGTTGGCTTCCGTGCCGGGAGCTTCCCCGGGATGAGGCTCGGGTGACGTGTGCATCGGATCGCGCGTGTAAGAAGAGCCTCGCGCGCATGCGAATCGAAGACGCGGATCGAAGTTGGACGACGGGTGGCGAAATAGCGGCCATTTCTTTTTTATCGGGAAACGTGTCGTGTTTCCCGTCGGTTCGCTCCCTCGTGTCGCACTCATGTCGACCCTCGAGGTGAAAATTTAACGCAACGTTCGACGATTGTTTACACTGGCGTGTTCGATCGAGGCGCCTGCAACACGCGTTTTGCGTCTCTGTTGCGCGCGTGTGTGTGTGTATTTGTCGCGTTTTTAATTACGTTTATGAATACGCAAAACAAACGGTATTATCGTCGATAATCCCCTGTGCTGTCTCAATAATTGCAATATATCGTTATTAATCGTTTCCTCCGGCCCAAAAATCGGACGCGTAGCAGACGTAATGCCCGATATTGATCACGTTGTTACGCGCGTGAATAAAAGGCGAGCGAGAATGACGGCGTAGCGAACTTTCATTTCGGCGTGTCATTCATTCGGCCGGGCATAACGCGCGTCGAAAGCACTCTCCGTTAAAAGAGCCGTCAGACTTGTTAATGTTTGATATAATGATTTTCACACAGGGCGAATAGATTAATGCTGGCGCTCGGCTAATTTCGTGACATATTGCCGCCGACGCGCCGTGAATGCGAAACATTTTATACCGCATAATGCAAGGGGAATGTAATTACTTCGCAGATACAAAATCGTGTAAAGTTTCGCCTCGCTTGTTTCATTATTACGTTCTCATTATTTAGTTATCGTCGTTACCGCGGGTAGATTTAAATAACGGAATGTGCTGTGTTATTAGCCGCATCTCTCTCCGATGTCGTCGGTATCTTTGAACAGAGAGGAAAAGAGAGAGAGAGAGAGAGAGAGAGAGCGAGGCGAAGATTATGCTAAAAAGAGATAATAAATCCTGAGATATTTTCGATATTGCGGCAAGAATTTGTACGCGTCCGCGCAAATTTCGCGGCGCAAAATTCCAGGAGGGTTTCGAAATTTGCGGGGAACGGACCGCCTGTAATGACATATTTCTAGCGGAGGAATTTCGCGGAAGAGCTGCGATTTGGATTATAGCTAAATCACACGCGACACGTCGCGCATAAACACGTTATCCGGCAAATAGCATTCGAACGTGGCGGACGTGGCCATTTCGGAATTAATGCAATCAAACTGATGGCTCGCAGTTTGCTGACGGTGAACGCACACTTGCCACCGGTGCACGCGGCGATCGTCACGGCTGAAATTAAAATTGGGCCACGCGTGCTTGCGTTCTGCAATTAAGCGCTGTAAAAATCGCGGGTCACAGTTTACATCCCGCTGCGCGGCGACGCAATGCCGGAACTTTGTCCAATCATGGTGTGCGGTGAGCACCTGTGATCTGATCGAATAATTACCTCGCTTTGATTACACATTGGTCAGCGCTCGGGCAACAATAAAATATGCAATTATTAAAAATTCTTGAATACGCAATTAAGATCGTCGAATGCGTAATGAGGAAACGTAATGCAAACACGGCGTATGAGAAAAGAGGCGTGTGTAAAAATAATCCCGTTTAATGTAGTTGATCCGTAAAATGACGTGGGGATTTTCAGTGGCGATATTAAGGCTACTTATACGTAAGTTTTTTATTTACTGAAAAAAATTCCATCAATACGCAGCTAAAATTTTTGAGGATTCCTAAGAAAATGGTTCGACGGATCAATTGCCTTAACGGGACATGTCACGTTTATTTTCGCGATCCCTCTTTTACGCGGTAATCTCTTGTTTCGGTAAACAAGAGAAGGGAGGACAGCCTGGATTTGGTCAGTCTACCGTCGCCAGTGAACGCTCAAACGTCTCCGATGGCGGCTGTCTGCTGAGCGCATTGAAAAACGCTCGGCCTTTTGCCACTCCGCTCGTGCAAACAGCCTTTAAAGCGCGTGTTACAAACGCCTTTGAGACGCGAGGACAAGTCGCGCTTTCAATCCCGTCGCCGGTGTGCCTCCGAAGATGATCAATCGGCCGCCGAGCAATATCCGGCGGAAGGAGAAGTTCCAGTCGACGTTTCGCGAAGGCGAGATCGCCCCATTATGCGTTCGACTCGCGTTCGAATTTCGATCTCCTGCGCGCGCCTACTGCTGCGCGAGAACAGGCCGCGCTCGGCGACGGGAACACGGGTCACCGTGGAAGGTGAGCCCGGGGGGGACG